GAACTATCATACATATCAGTAGCCATGTTGTATACCAATGATAAATGTGTGTGTGTGTGCGTGTGAAAGAGAGAGAGAGAGGTAGAGAGACACAGAGACATAGAGATTAGAGAGAGTGTGAAAGAACATCAGAGAAAAAGTGTGAAAGAACATCAGAGAAAAAGTGTGAAAGAACATCAGCTGTAGCCACCTGGCGGCCATGGACAAACAGAGTTCACCTGAAGGAAAGACTGGAAAGGAAAAGGAGACAGAGAGGCCAGAGAAGCATGGAGCGAAGACAATTTTTTCTGATCAAAGCTCAAAGTTTAATATTCAGCATTTCATGTGTATATATAGGAAAAGCCCCCGCATATCCATGCTGTTTTTCGCTGGATTATGTTGCCAGGCAAGCTCAGTGGGGAGTCTATTCTTCTAAATTCCTGTAGTAAGTTGTATGGGCAGCCAGTGTAGATGATTCCTCTTTGCAGCAAGGTTTATTGTGGTAAACAAAGTCTTATTCAGCCTGCTCAAGGATGGTGGAGGACATAATTATCAGCTAATATATTCCATGCAGAGTTCCCATAGCTGTTGAGATCACTTCAAAAATAGCATTAAAGTGCTTCTTGTGGTCCTTGTAACTGGTCAAACAGTGTCAACCAAAATTGTTCATGCTTCAGGAATACTATCATTGACAACACAAACCAAAGCAAGCAGTTTGTAGAATTTTCAGAGATTGGATATATATAGAATACAGATAGTTGAAGTCATAGGAGATCAGAGACTAGAGAGTACAAACTGTACAGGATGCCATCCCTTAAGAGTTCCAAGGATCTGGTCAGGATTAATACCTGAGATTCTTACGAGTATAACTGACAGCCTTCAGTGACTGCCTCTCATTATAATTAACTCTCTGAAGTTCCCATGATGATACTGACAGACAAGGTTACATGATTAGGATGAATATCATTTGGTCCAAACCATAGAGAGATAATTAGAGACAACCAAGAAATGTTGAGATGGGGAGAAGTATCCTTTACATGGGAAGATCCTCTCAATTGGCCTTCCATTATCACTGGATATCTCTGAAATAAAATACATAAAAGGAACTTATTATGGAACAAGCAAGTTGTATATACATACATACATACATACATACACACAGACATACAAAGACACACATACACACACACACACACAGAGGTGAGTTGGCTTCTGAGAGAGGAAGTATCAGATTTCTTTAAGATGTCACATTTTAGAGACTCCTCATAGTTCCATCAATGCTTGTGCCCTAGGCTCACACTAGCTTCTGTCAGTATACTTAATGTTTATTTTGTTATTTGTTTAAGGAACACATGATATTCAGAGGAAACTGTGGTGGGTGGTTAAAAAACGAAAGGAATTGGAAAGAAATAATTATTTTTAAACATGTATAAAACACATATGCCTATATGAAGCACTCAAAGATTTTAAGTAATACATATTGTAAATCTAAAAGTTAATTAAGTTGATTTTTGTTGGAATTAGTCATTGAAGACTAGAATCCAAATCAATACAGAGACTTCTCCAAATTTCTCATTGTCCTGACCTCAAAGTTTTTTTAGCCCATTCCAGAGTAAACCTGATCAGCCTTCACAGGTCTTAAAAATATAATCACTCCTAAAAACACCTTACCCTTTGGAAATATTCACAATAACCTCTCTTCAATGTGTTTCTGTTAATTAACAACTGGAAACTTTGTATAGATGATCTTGTCTCTCCAAGCCAGTGGTGTCATTGCCAATGAAGTTGAAATGAAAATTGCAGTTCTGGAGGGAGGTGAGGTCACAGAATCATGGACTTCTACCTTGGGCTTAAGTTGGCTCTCTAAGAGAACTGCTTATTAACGAGTCTGAATCTGCTCAGTGAATCCATCATCCTACAGAGGAAAGGAGCCAGGTGAGTACTTTGTATTTCAGTCTGAGTGGCAGTGCCAGCAAAGAAAAAAGTACTAGGTAAATGTTCAAATCTGCTAATAGAGAACTAATATAGGAAGACATATAGGGAATGGACAGAGAGAACAAGAATAAATCTAAAAGTAAGACATGATTGAACAGGTAGAAGTGTTCCTGACCATGTACTATATTCCCTGTCATTTCTTACTGATATATAATTCCCCTACTAAGTGTAACTGTGGAAAACACCAGGGTAATGTAGCCCATCTTTGAAGGTGCTGAAACATTGTGAAAATAAGTCAATGTGATAACTCAACTTACCTTACATAATTTGTAGACTAACCTTAAATTATTATTATTATCCTTTAACTTATCATGGTTTTATGCTATAGGAAACACTGGAATAGTAATATAAGTAGCATACAACCCTGTGTAGTGCAGAATGTGAATATGTTTGTGGATTAGAAAGTATCCATATGTGACATTAATCTTTGATTTGGTTACAGAGGCAGTGACTGTGCATGTATTGAATGGCCATTGATAGAATGAAAGGTTTGAAGCCTGTCCCTCTTAAATGCAGGAGTGCAACATGAAGAGAAGATATAGTTTGAGTATGGAGCAACGGCAGCCAGGACCAAATGTATCCTGTTTTTCCTGGTTTAAGCACACTTTAAGGCAAGCATGATGTCACATCTTCTCTCTATGTTTGTTGTTCAAGGAACAGAGGGCCTTGTTCATGATATGATCTCAGTGTTCTATATCTCAGATAAATTTGTATTCACACCTAGTGCTGTATCATACTGAACAATCGTTAATCTTTACATTTCTTCAGATTGTACTTTTTTGAATGAATCTCCTCTATTGAGTGCATCATAAATTTCATTATAACAGCACCATAAATAGAGGAATTATCAAACAATCCAGGTAGGTGTTGAAAATATTCAATATCATCATTTTGAAGGAAGGGGCAGGCAGATTTTGTTGATTTTGAGGACAACCTGGTCTGTGTAGTAAGTTCCTGGATAGCTAGGGCTACAAAGTGAGAGAGAATTTCATAAGAAAATTCATAAGAAAAATCACAAGAGAGAATTTTCATAAGAAAAATACATTTAAAACAGCAAATACATGTTCAATTTTAAAGCAAATGTTTTAGTAACTTAATTTTTATCTCATGCTATTGTTTGTTAAACATATGTTTGTTTTTCATGTTACATTTTGTAGGGGATAGGTTATTATTAATTCATCTGCACTTCCTCCTATACCCTTTACTTTTGAAGTGACAATAATCCACATTTTTAGTGGTGTTTTAAGTATCAAGTCCGCCTTTTGCTTCTGAAATCAACCTGGGATGATATTGCTTTACACTTGGATCAGCTGCTGGTCAACTGTACTCACCCTGGGAGGTTGGGAATGAGCTGGCATGGAATCAATGGTGGATACTCCAGGAGCAGGTAAAAGGCAGAAGCAAGCTTTTTTTTATTAATCCTTTATACCCTCCACCTATGTCTCTTGGTGCTAGTCAAGCCTGTTCTCTTAGTGACAGTTCCAGATTAGATGTCATTGTATATGTTGCCAATCTCTAGGCTCTCAGGTAGGCTTCAATTTGGCCCTCATGCAGAAATTGCTTCTACAGCTGGGCTTGGCCCACTTGTGTTCTGCCACTGTTCATGTGGAAGTGTCTACCACTTTGCCAATAAGGTTTGCCATTCCTCCACAGGACATGGGACAGCTTTCTGTCAGTTCAAACCACAGTGAGACCACTACAGTTTATTCAGAGCTCATTAGCATTATCATTTGATATTAGCCTATGAAATTAATCTTTATGATAGAATGAAAAGTTAATTTAAAAATGGTATATATATAAATTATATATTATATATTTATATATATTATCTATATTATATTTATATTGTGTGCAAAATATCTAGTAGTTCCTATGGGAATAGCTCATTTCCTTTCTGTATTTTATCTTCTTTAGGTTCCAAGCTTCACTGCCAATTCTGTCTCTGTTCTTGATTTTCAAGGTCACTTTTTCTGCATAGCAGAGGAGAGTATAAAGCAACATTTATTTTCCCACTGGAGTTTTTGATTCAGATGTTACCATCAGATTCTGCAATGGATTCCCTCCTGACTTAAAACAGAATTTTCTGACTACTTGGCTCACATGAATAAAATGTGGCATGCTGAGGATTTCCTTCATGTTTACTACACTGATGGGCCTTCTTTTCCACCATTTCTACTGTAGTCTCTTGAGTGGTGCATGATAATCCACATACAGTTCTAATAGAGACACCCAGTGTTTCCTCATAAGGTATCATCCAACAGATCTTGTCCTTCTCCATTATATTTAATCTCATGTTTTTCCTCCTATTTTTGTTCGATTGAGAATTCTGTGAAATTTCATCACACTGGTTGTCCCCATCTCTCTAATAACACAGTCCTGTGTGTTCACACATGCACGTGTGTCCATGTCGTATGACTTTGCTTAAGAACTACATCTTAAGTTAATTAGATATATGTTGTCACTTGAACTATCATTTGTGTATGTTTTATGTGATTAATCAAATTTTCTTCTCTATGACCATAGAGATATTATAAGTGATATCATTAATTTTTTATTACACACCATTTAAAATTTGATGAGATGTATCTTAAGAACTGATATTTTGAGGTTTGCAGTTGTCATTAAAATTGGTTTCTTTTATAGATTAATAGAAAATAAAAGTATAGTTTTGTATTCTTGGTTTATGCTTGTTAGTACTGGCACTCTTTTCTCATTGCTTCTTATAGACCTAATAATGTTTGCAATGATGCTTCATTTTTTATGACCATGAAGGCATGTTTCCAATCATTATGTGTGTCCTCAAGTCTTCAGTAATCTTACAATAGAAAACATTGTAAGTAATAATTGTTATTGTATGAAACTTCCAGAAGTTCTTATTAGACAACATTGACTGCAGTCTATGCTGACATTGTATTCCTGAGCTCTAACAGCCCTTCTGATTTAGCCTCTTACTAGTTCTTCAGATCATTAAAACTTTGCAATCATTTTGATCAGTAAATGGGTGTGGCCCAAAGCTAAAGAGAATCATGCCCAACCATAAAATAGACTTATGGAATCTGGCAATCAAAATCATTTTCTTATTACAAACTACAACTGGAATTCTGGGTAATTTCTTTCTTCTTATACAATATCTAGTCTACTTTACAGAATACACTTTAAAACACACAGATTTGATTCTCATGCACCTCTGTGGAGCCAATACCTTGATAGTTCTTTCTACAGGAGTGCCCCACACAATGGCAGCTTTTGGGCTGAAGCAGTTTTTAAATGACTTTGGATGCAGATTAATTTTGTACATTCAAAGAGTAGGCCGGAGTGTGTCAGTTGGTACCACCTGTTTCTTGAGTGTCTTCCAGGCTATCACCATCAGTCACAGAGAATCCTGTTGTAATGATCAGAAAGCCAAAGTTGCAAAGTACATTGGCTGCTCCATTTCCCTTCTCTGGGTCTTGTCTATGTTTATACATTTAATTTTCTTTGGGTACATATTTCTGAAAAGGAATAGCAAAAACATGACAAGAAATCTAAATTTGGGGTACTGTTCCATTGTCAACCATGTTGAAATGAATTACTCACTTTATATAGCATTAGTGATGTGCCCTGAAATCTTCTTTTCTGTGCTCATTGCCTGGTCCAGTGGCTACATGATTGTAATTCTATACAGGCATAAAAAGAGGGTTCAACATATCCACAGCTCTCAGGTTTCCAACAGAAAGTCTCCAGAATCCAGAGCCACCCAGAACATCCTGTCCCTAATGTCTTCCTTTCTGGCCTTTTACAGTCTCTCCTCCATCTTACGAGGTTCCATTACTCTTTCACATTATCACAGTTGGTGTCTGGTGATGGTCACTCCCCTCATATCTCTCTGTTTTCCAACTTTTGGACCCTTTCTTCTCATCAGTCATTACTCTGTTCTGCCCAGACTCAGTTTGGTCTGGATAAGAAATACCATCCTTTAATCTTATTTTAAATATTTAAATCCTATATTTTGCTTGGTGTCTGTTTTTTACCTAACATTTTCCTCAAAAGTTCAATAGAGAGAAATAAATTAGTTGTTCCTTGTTTTTTTTTTTTTTGATTAACGAAAATGAGTATGCGATTTTGTCAGCTGATAGATTCAGTGGTCTAAATGAGCTGATCATAAATTATGAGGCCTATAGTACTCTTAAGAGTCTTCCCTTTGTCCGCTTGATGTGCAAAGGAGCCTCAAAGAAGGAGAAGAAAGAGGAATAGGAGGAGGAAAAAGGGAAGACAGAGGAGGAGAATCAGGAAAATGAGAAAGATGAGGAAGATGAAGAGGAAGACCAGGAAGTTAAGGAGAAGGAGGTGCAGGAAAAAGGAGGAGGAGGAGAAGGAAAAGTAGGAGGAAAAATAGAAGGAGGAGGAAAAGGATCAGGATGAGGAGGAAGAGGAGGAGGAAGATGAGGAGGAGGAAGATGAAAAGGAGCATAAGGAGAAGGAAAAGGAGGTGTAGGAGGAGGAGGAGAAGAAAGAAGAAGAAGAAGAAGAAGAAGAAGAAGAAGAAGAAGAAG